CGCCAATTTTCAGCCCGAACTTCGGCCGAAATCTGCTGGCAACGCGTCTCCCCGCAGCGCGTTTCAGGTTCAGAGAGCCAAATGGCAGGTCGACACGGACAGTGAAAAGGTAATTCGAACTTCATTTTCCTATGCCAGTCAGAGCCGCGTGTTCACGGTCAACTGGTTCTGAAACGGGCAGCATCTCCACTTTAATGGTCTATTAAAGGCCACGGTGCGGATCCCAGTCAGGCCCAAACAGAAGATGAATCACACAGCTGTGATAGGCTCAGAGTCAGAGACCATCCCACCGATAAGAGAGTGGCCTTTCGCCTAACGAATAGGTGGGAAATAAAAAATAAATATACAGCAACAACTGGGTCACTGTAATAGCTGGCAATAGCTCAGCACTCTCCCGGCAGTTTATGCATCACAGTCATGTCCGCTTAAGCCGTTAACTGTGAGAAACTGACAGGAAGAAACCGCAGTGATGCTTAAGGTCTATTAGTGGCGGCCGGACTCGTCTGGGCTCGTCGAGCCGCTTTGTTCATTGTGGTCAAGGTTAACGCAGACCTATGCTCAGCAAGCTATTAGGAGCCATTACCTGAAGCCATTAACGTTCTTATACAAGCATTTCTTTGGCCACATTTGGGAGGTCTGCTGCGGGGCCCTGGGAGATAACGCAGCACTGGTGCACGTGGGAGAAAATCTAGTAAAATAAACTCACTTTTTGCACATTAAAGCCATCTTAAGCAAAAAAAAATTCTGTATTCCCTTGTGTTTGAACCTGGTCCTTACAATAACACCATAAACAAGAGTTATCCCTCTCCAGGAGAATGTAGGATTCAACTCAAACAAACTTCAGGGAGTGCAGCGCTTATCACAACAGATGGATCTCAGCTCTAGACAAAGTAGGAATGGAGGGTTTTGTTCTCTTTAAAAAAAAAAGCAGACTGATGTGATGATTCATCCCAGAGGTTTTAGTATTCCCATTAGTCTGACTGGCCTGGCTCAGACGGCACGCACCTCCTCTCCAGCAGAGCGGAGCTGAGTGTGCCGGCCGGCTGTAGATGGGGCGATAAAGGGGTGCAGTTTTCAGTGTCAGGCTGTGGACCTACATCACGGCCCTGTAAACACAGGACCACAGGCAGCACAGCCAAATAAACCATCCGTCAGGTGAGTCCAGCTCTGTTTACACCAGGCACTCTGTACCTCCAGCTTACGCGTACGCCTGTTTATGCAGAGTCAGCGTGTAAATGTCATGTAACATTTACAGTATCTAAAAGGGGATGTATCCCCTTTTAGAGAGCACACATCTGAGCTCAGGCAATGTGACCGCCCCCCCCTGACGTAAGGCTGGCTCTTTGCTAAAGATACACATCTCAGAATTGCCATTGGGCTGGCCGTTTTTTAAAAAGGTAAATACAACTTATCTTACAAGAAACCCCACTGTTCCTGTAATCGAGAGGAACCGGTGGTTCTATTGCTGCTTTGAGCCTGGTTGACCAGAACCTGCAGCATCTGCACAACTTCCCAATACTAGTCGATGCCAACAGCCACAGGTGCTGAGGTGAAGTGGCCGTTGAAATAGATGACGGTGAAGACTACGTATCGCTGGTGGTCTGATGATAACACTTCAGTCAGGTTGTTTGCATGACTTTGCATCTGAGCCCATGTGCAAAATGCCCTTGTCTAAAAACCATAAGTGAGAAAACCGGTAAAAGCTGTGGTCAGCGTCGTTTGCATGCTTTTTTTCCAAGCAGGTGGCCAGAACACAATCTATGGCCTACTTTCTGTCCCTGGAACTGTGTCAGAGGTTCACATCGGCACACAGAATGCAGTGCAACACGTCTTCTGGAGAGAACTTTCTCAGAAATTCCTCTTTCCTGTCGCTCTCACTAACCTGTTTTTTATCCTACGAAACGACATAGCTAGGTTTTACAAAGTTCTTCAAAGTTCACCTGAGAGAAGCACCAGTGAAAAAAGCCCCAGATTAGCTTTAAGTGCCATTTATCCCAAGTTATTAGCTGGGAGCCGTTTGTGACCCATAATCCACCACAGGTGCTCAACAAAAGCTCTCAAGCAGCCATTGTCTCCAGCCACTAAAGTTTAACACGAGCAACAACAAAAGGCCGACCAGTGGAACTAGTTTCTGCTGTCACGAGGACGTTGAGGCACGTGAGCTCATTTGGCTGCCGTGGCAAAGTCGCCAAAATACTCTAAAACAAACTCCTTTGTGCTCCTCTGCACAGCCTTTTGACTCAGGAATGTGCTCTGTAAATGGCAGATAAAACAGAAACAAGCCACCGCTGGCACCGAACGGCACCCCGTCTGAGGGGCACGGCAAGCCTCGGCTAAACGCTAGCAGCTGCGCCACATGTGCAGCACTTTTTACAAACACGATTAAATTAAAGCCCCCGCCAAACTCATTATTATCCCATCTTTACAGAGAGGCTCAAGAATGTCAATGAGGATCACGCTCATAATGCAGTCGCTATGCACGGTGCGCGGGGGGGGGGGGGGGGTCTTTCACACGAAAACCCACAGAAAATCCCCGACATGTTCAAGTTGACAGCCTTTTTTTTCTGACTTTGAAAAATTACAGGCTGGTCCCTATTTTTTTTTTTCTCCAGTAAATGAATTCCTCAACTAATTGAGTTAGAGCTCCCAGACAGATGTGACAGGCCAGCTATGTCCCGCAGGATCACAGGATGGGTGTGGGGGAAATCGACGGGCAGATGCTCCGACCAGCAGAGGTCTTACGGGGTCAAGCTGTTCCATTACGCGAGGACAAGGGTGGCATTTATTCACAGGCGTCTCCTTCCGAGCTGGGACGGACTTTGAGGGAACGGAGAGAGGGATACTTGACCCCTTGAAGCAAATGGCTGACCACAAAACATGGGATGCTTATCTCATTACTGGTGGGGAAGCAGCAACTATTGCAGCAATGCCCAGGAAAATGGCCGACATGGAGAGAGAGAGAAAAAGAGAGAGAGAGAAAAATGGACTGTAGCTGCTGAAAAATACCAGACATTCATAGGAGAGCTGACTCCTAAGTGATCGAGGAAAAATATGGAAACCTGACAATAATCACAGCCAAAGCTGACACACAGAGCCACGATTGCCGTCCTTTAAAAAGCCCAAACTGATCCGACTTGTCTGCGGAGCTACGACGCATCCAAGCCTGTGGAAGACTTTGTCTCTGACGCACGGCTACAAACAGCTTTTCCACATTTTGTGTGCCATGTTCAATTGCATCCTGAGCTGGGGCTCCAGCAGCTATCCTAAGCTTATTACATGGGTTGCCAAACGGCCCAGACTTCAAGCGGGATGATATGGACGGGGGTTAAAGATCGGAAAGAATGAGCGCAGTCTTCCAGCGTGTTTAAGTGCTTGCCAGTGGCAAAGCATCATAGTTTAATTGGCTAAATCAGCAGGCATGTCTGGGACCAAACATGAGCATTTAGATGACCCTGTTAAACAGGCACACACGTATTAAGCAGAACAGTAAAGAAGCTTCCCTCTGTCTGAATGCTCTGCTTTTTTCTGGGCCACCCTGAGACAAGAAATAGAAAGGTTAAACTCTAAAAGGTTAAACCTTGCTAATTTGTTATGGTTTCCACTGATTTCATCAAATGCTTACTGACTACAAATAAACACATTAATGAATAAAAGCATATAAAAAAGTGACATATATGGCCGTTTCAGGCCATTTCTTGGTCTGGAACCATCTCAAAAGTCAGGAAAAACCCGGCTCATGGTAGTTCTTCATATTCTTAGGATCAGCTTAAGCTTATTGGTGCCAGTTTGGACCTATTGACTGTGAAATATTATCATTAGTATTTTTTTTCAAAAAGCAACCACAAGTTTCCAGTGAATGGGCCTCCTCCACGCGAGCAGACCGCGGGGCCCGCCACTGGAGACGAAACCGCTCGCCGCCTGCACACACACAAAATGACTGCTGAGGAGCCGGACCAGAATGGCAACTTCTAAGATCATATCACAGGTTATTAAAGTCATTATTTTTGCAGCCAGCCGCTCTGTGAGGCAGAGACAGACATTTGGAAGAAGGGAATCGGTAAACACCAATAAAAAGTCCTATTTAAGCACCTAGGGAAATAGACCTGAGGGCAGACAAACGAAATTAGGCTTCCTAGTCGTCACTCAAAGTGAAGATGAATTACAGTGACCTAGACGACTAAGCGGATCCGCTGCACATCAGTGGGATGAGCGGCAGAGCATCATTGACTTATTAGTCAGCAGTCACAGCCTGCTGCTCAGATCACTAACCTCAAAAGACTAAATAAATTATTGCCTCCTCTCAAAAGTAAAATGATTTACAAGGAACGGCTTCTCTCCCGCACATCAGATCCTGCTGCGTGCAAGGTGAATATCAAGGAGTACATTAAGGGCTGGTTGCAGAGATGCGTCTGATGAAAGCAGGTGAGGTGGAGATCAAAGCTCCCAGCCTGTGGAAGCCAACCGGCAGTTCGCGCGCATCAGCATGCCAGATGAGAGCTCTCCGACAGTCCCGTAACAAAGACTGTGCGTTGTTCGGTTAAAAATAAGGAGGGGGGAAAGCACAGCACTGCCGAGCTCCCAGCAGCCTCGTGGTTAGGAAACCGTAGACACAACCTCTTCTTTTAGCCACAGAGAGACAGTCTAAGCCGTCCACGTTCAAGCAGAAACATCTGGAGAAGCCGACGAGAGCTCCGCTGAGGATGCAAAAACCACCAGGAGGCCTGAGCGGCTGTGTGGAGATGACCCGTACAAGCCACCGATCTGGTCAGGGTGGAAAGTCTCGTGGCACATTAAAAAGAAGAGGGTTACCGAGCAGAAAGGCTATGGGTTAAAAAGGGCTTTACCACCAATCAGCCGAGCCTCCGGCCTCTGATTTGAGTCACCAAACTCAGTGGCTGCTTCCTTTTTTTTTTCCCCTCCGCCGCCTTTAACATTATTTGGATCGAGCTCGTAGACAAATTAGGAGACCGCTTCTCCAATGACACCTGAATGTCAGGCAACCATTAATAGCCAACCCCACACAGCCGGCTTACACATGACTCCGCTGTGTGCATAACAGCCCAGTGAGCCGGTTGCCCTACATCTCCTGCCATCCGGTTAAAAGATTTAGCGTTATTGCCCCCAAGTTTGTGTGCGCGTGGAAAGATTTAATAATCTCCTGACATGACTGTGAACCCCCGTCGGCTAGACGGCGGAAAGGCCGCGTTCACGAGAACGCCTCGCGGCCTCTGATGTGACACCGTTTGGAGACAGACAGGTATTAATATTGCACAACTGTGCCCGGCTGAAGCGAGCCGGGGAGCGCTCTCTGTAATCTGCTCGGCTTGGCTTGGACCTCGGGAGCAGCCAGCTACAAATAAGACTGACCTTTTTGACTGACCTGTGCGATGTTAATGGTGAGCTCAGTAGCTCAGAGTCATTTGTTAGTTTGTTTGGTGGCAGGAATGTTTGGTGGGAGACATGCAGCCGAAGGAGTCCAAGCTGAAAAATGGAGCCCTGCTCTTCTAAATCTGAGACTGAGCAGGGATTCCTGAGTCCAGTAGCTTTTATGGAGCAGTGATCCTGACATGAACATTTCTAGAAAATGAGGGTAACCTGTGTCAACCGAAGAGTAACAAGGCCTCTCGATTTCTGTCCGACCAAAGCGTGCCGTAAATATAAGCCCACACACAGGGTCCCTAAACGCAACACAGCCGATGTGTTTCCAATTAGCTGCACATTTAGAGTCCAGCATTTAAAGAACTGGAAAAGAATTCAGACAGCCTGCGTTTCTTTGGTTTTATCTTGGCATGTGATACAACGAGGCCCTTCATTTGTACACAGTACCCTTTTCCTTCAAACAGCTGAGGCCTGTCGGATAAATAAGCCTTGACAATGATATCGCCTCAGGAAACGGGTTATCTAGATATGTTCACCTCTTTGAGGAAGGGATTTTCAGGGAAGCTTAAATGGAGCATGTTTGCTGACTGGATGCCAGGATTGCCGGTGACCTAAAGCAATAAGGACCCTGCCTCTGTTTACGCTGGCCGGACTCCAAATGACTGAACCAACATGACAAAGACTGGAGACTAAGAGGTGGAGGAAAGAGCTTATCTTTCTCAGAGATCAAGCCGCCGACTGTTTAAAGCCGGGTTGGGGGCTGAGAAGG